CCCCAAAACCCCAAAACCCCACAAATCAAATATCTTACAGTTTATAGATTTATGAGCAAATAATAAAAATACCAGTTTGTTGTCTTGATTTAAATATAACCAAAGAATGTTTTTTTTTTATAATTTTCTTATTTAAAAATGGAAACTGATTCAAAAAATAACTTGAGAGGATTATAATTTTTCCAAAAAAGAAAAGATACTATATCTCAAATATTTTGGTTATTTCTGTAGAGCAACATAATTCAGAAATTCACATATCTATTATTAATGACCTTAGACTATGCTGCATAATGCTTCATTATTATTGCTATTATGATTGACTAGAGTGGAATTTATAGAAATAGCATACTCTTTGATATTAAATCATCTCTTATTACAGGGAATATCCTTTTATACTTGATAATCTTTTCAATTATTTACATGGCAAGCATTTTCGTAGTTATTGGCACGTTATACATAAAAAATGAAGAGCAAGTTTACAATAATTCTAATTTTATGAGCTATGTTCTTAAAGTAGTTTCCTTATTAATTTGCCTTTTAAAGACAATAATGGGCTCTGCTATAATATTTACAATCATTCTTAGTATTGATGGTTTATTTGAAAACTAAATAGAACAATTAGATATCTTGAGAATAATTTTAATACCTACATGCTCTATAGCTTACTTTATTATGTTTCTAATAGTTTATAACTTTTTCAATGTGTCAACTCCATGCTATAATATCCCATGGGCAAGCTTTTCCTTAGATGATTACATCATTGAGCAAATATAAAAAATTGAAGTAGTTCTAATGATCATATTTAGTGATAATTTTGACGCTTTGATTTTAATTTCTATCTCATTATCAGCTATTTTGATCTACAAGGTATACCTACTAATTTTAAAGATTATGATTTTAAATGATAGTGTTCATAGATATTGCGTTTACTTAAATAGCATACTTCTTCATTTCGTATTGGGACTAGATTTTCTAAAGCTTGAAAAGCTTAATTATTATCCAATATTTTGCATTGCATTACTCCCTTTCACTTTAATTCTTAATCGATATCTAATGGAAATTAGGAATCAACATCAAATAAAGTATCTTAATCAAATGTTTACAAATTAAAAAGGATAAAACATTTAAAGACTATTTTAACTTGGAGTTAGATTATTAGAAAAAACTAAAAAAAGCTCAAAATTAGAAAAAATTACGTTGTTTAAAGAAATTATATTTCATTAACTTCAATGTTAAAAACTTAATCAAAATGATCTTATTCTAAGAAAGTATAAGTTGAAAAAATAGAAGAATATTGATGATTGATAGGATTTAGAACAAGCTTATGAAATAAGTGATAATTACACATTTCCATCATCAAAGCAATATGCAAGCAAGAATGAAATATGCAATTCTTTCTAGAATTAAAAGTTGAAGGAAATTGAAAGTATAGAGAGTCAAGAATTACCTAATGAGGAAATAAAATCTTTTTAGAAATTTAAAAAGATAACTAGAAAAGAATATGATTAAATGTAATAAAGGAAATTAGGCTCAAATTATTCTTAAAATAATGAACTGCTGGCACTTAGTGATTAATAGAAAAAATAGTTTAACAAGACAAAATTCCACTAATTTTCAGGAAAAAAAGCTATAATTGAATAAAATTTTCAAAATAAAACAAAACATAGTTTCTCAATGTCAAATATCACGCCTATTATTAATCATAAGAAATCATCAACTAAAAAGATTGACAAATAAATCTTCAAGTTTATCAAACACATTTTCAAAGAGCACATTTAAAAGGTGGACTAATTGGACAGAAAAAGCTTGGATATCAAGATGTTGATTATTTACTACACACTGATAATTTTGGAATTACCTCATTTGAGCTATTTTATGATAATGGAAATAAAATAGAATTTGAAGTAAGACTTCTTTAAGAGTAATAAGGTAAAGATCAATTTACTTTATTTGCTTGACCAGATATCAGAAAAGGATCTTTAGGATA